ATACGCATATCCAGGTTTATATTCCCCAATAATCTTTGGCAGGTGGAGTCCGGATTTCTTGGCGTTCACAGTTTCGATCAGTTTGTTGACCTTTGCCTTTAATTCGGCTGTAGTGTCCTTCGTTACCCTTTGGAATTTAGTTTGGTCAGAGAGTCTGAGGTTCATTTTCGCCAGATATTCGTCTTTTTTAAGAATGACGTATATTGGCGACTTGTCGCCTTTCCTGACAACTATGTTCTTGTTCTCACGACGGCTTTTAGCTGCCGCTTTGAGCTCGGGGGACAGTATGGTGCTTCTGTAATTGCCTCGATTCTTTCCTTCTTCCGCAATAAGTTCTGCTTGTAAGGTATCTTTGGTAGTGACCTTCTTTTGTGTCTCGAGGGCGAATATGTCGTCCAACAGGATTTCCAACTCCACTTTCCGGGCCATCTCACTCGGTCTGGACATAACGTGACAGTTTATACCCAGATTTAGGAGAGTGATTTGGTCCTCAGTGAGGTTAATTCCTGCAAGGTTCAGGAAGCCATCTCTTGGTCGTGGAATTGCCATAGGTCCTCCATTAACGTTGTTAGTTTCTTGATTATCCTGGTTTCGGTGCTGAGGTGATGTCGATCTGTGAGGGTGTCGAGGTGTTGCTCGATGAGAGTACGGAGACTTTCGTCGATGTTGCTGTTTCTCCATTGGTTTGTAGCATGAAGTAGTTGCGTTTTGTTGTCTTTGATTTCATTTTCTGCCCTATGTATCTGATTACGAATCAGATCTCGGCGATATTTTATCGTGAAGGCTTGATTCCTTGCTGCTGGGTCATGCGTTTTAATATTAGTATATTTTGGTAGCAGTCTTTCCTGTAGACATATATTATTAAATATGACCGAAAAAGAAGATTAATAATTCTAACACGAATTTTCTCTGTTTCTTATATTTCTTTTCACTGTTGATGGTAACTGAAAAATCAATTCTCCAAAATTAATTTTTATTTTTAGACAACAACATCTCTTTCCAGGCGATTAACGATGCATAAGCAACAGGGCTACATTAAGGAACATATAATCTCTTCCCACAACTAGACCATCACCAGAGAAGTCTTAACAAAAAACACGAAAATCATCGATAGATACAGCAATAGCAGGCGGCTTGATATCTGCGAGGCACTACACATTAAGAAGTCGACACCAGCAATCAACAGCCAATTAATGCACAACTATATTCTACCCACTTCAAGATTCCGCACCAATATAGAAGCATCAAGAAATATGGGCCAATAGGCCCTTTGCAGTTACTTCCATTCTTCCCTTTAACTTACAAAATATTATACCCATTGTTTCGTGTTCTGTCTTGTGTTGAAAGTTTGTTTTCACCTCATCCAAAACTGTTGTAACATATCACCTCACCCAAATGCAGGTATAAAATCGAAGCTGTTTGAACTCTGTACAGTTATAGTTGTGTGTGTGTAAACTAAAGTCTTTGAAAATGTAATAAGTTTTACAAAACGCGTTCAAGTGTCGCGTCAGACTAGAAATAAAAATGATTTTTGGAGAATTGATTTTTCAGTTACCATCAACAGTGAAAAGAAATATAATAAACAGAGAAAATTCGTGTTAGAATTACTTATATATATATATATATATATATATATATATATATATATATATATATATATATATATATATATATATAAATATATATATATATATAAATATATATATATAAATATATATATATATATATATATATATAAATATATATATATATATATATATATATATATATATATATATATATATATATATATATATATATATATATATATTTTATATATATATATATATATATATATATATATATATATATATATATATATATATATATATATATATATATATATATATATACAAAACATACATACAAACATACAAACATACAAAAATGAATTTTGGAGAATTGATCTTTGAATTACCATCAACAGTGAAAAGAAACGTAAGAAAGATCGAGAAAATTCGTGTTAGAATTATTAATCTTACTTTTTCGGTCATATTTAATAATATATATATATATATATATATATATATATATATATATATATATATATATATATATATATATATATATATATATATATATGTATATATATATATATTATTAAATATGACCGAAAAAGTAAGATTAATAATTCTAAAACGAATTTTCTCAATCTTTCGTACATTACGCTTCACTGTTGGAGGTAAATCAAAAATTTATTCTCCAAAATTCATTTTTATTTCTAGTCTGACGCGACACGGGCGCGTTTCGTAAAACTTATTACATTTTCAAAGACTTTAGTTCACAAATACACAACTGAATAGAACTTACGTATCTCCGATTTTATATCTACATTTGAGTGAGGTGGCAGGGGGTGATGTGGCATTAACACAAGACAGAACAAGAGGGGATATTAATAGGGTATTAAAAGTATCAACACAAGACAGAACACAAACAATGGGTATTGAATAGAAGTGTTTGTAGAAAGCCTATTGGTCCATATTTCTTGATGCTTCTATATTGGAGCGGAGTCTTGAGGTGGGTAGAATATAGTTGTGCAATAATTGGCTGTTGATTGCTGGTGTTGACTTCTTGATGTGTAGATATATATATATATATATATATATATATATATATATATATATATATATATATATATATATATATATATATACGCAATAAGGTTAACGGTAATCGTTCTTGGTGAAGAATAATATTAAATATGAGAATGATCAAAGTATTGCGAAATAGAAAATGCGGTCATTTAGAGGAGAGGAATATTTTGACATCACGATTAATCAAAACTAATAATACCCAAATACTATGGGTAGTCGGTAAAAATTTTGGATTTGGTCATTTACATAATAAAGCATACTGTAGGCAATCAGACATTGAAGATAATAATTTTTAACGCAAAATTATGATAGGGATATGCAGTCCCTAAATGAATATAAACATTAGCAATCATAAATTAAAGCGAACCATACACAATGATAAAATAAAGCCAATGAAGAACAATAATAAAATAAAGGAATATCTATGGTTTGGAGAAAACCATAGATAATAATAAAATAAAAGTAATCATTGACAATGATAATAAAGTTAATCATGTACAATAATGAAATAAAACTAACAGTGGAACCTCACAAAATAAGGAAACCCTTAGAAAATAATAAAGGGAAGTCAATCATGAAACACTGGTAAAGATATTTTTGTTACACTGAACATTTGTGTTGCTTCTTAAGCATTTTTTGTGCTGAAATCACGTCTACGATCAGAATTATTCTGTCACCTGTAGTTTTGATGTTACTTTTTTGTAATTATTCGGTTACTGAATGAATAATAATAAACAATATAAAGGCTTCTCCTATTCGTTACTTAGTGTATTTTACTCCCACACTTTATTGCCCTGCCAGTGTTGTATTAACTTCCACAGTGTAAACAGTGTAAGTGTTTTGCTGTTGTTTATTAAATGTTCAGTGTCTTTATATTAAGCCAAGGAAGTGTTTAAACCGTTCTGACACTTATGGTTACGTGTGTGGTGAAGTGATCTTTGACGCTCAGAGATGAAACATTACACCGTTAATTAATTTATACGTTCCTTAATAAAAAGTAATATTATATTACATAAACTTCCATAAAATAATAATTTTAATACCAAAATTACCACTTTAATTTTGGTTGTAAAGTTGGTGCCCAGGATAAGAGCTGGTGTCCTCACGACTGCTGTATAACATGTGTTCAAGTCCTCACGGAATGGGCAAAGTGTTCTCGCTCGGGAGCCAAAATGTAATTCCTCGGAGCGTTATTTCTGTTTGACAAATAAAACATGAATTACGAGAAAATCTAAACATGCCCTAAAATACACTAATCTCTCTTCTGCTATAAAGCCTGTTCCTCACAGTGAAGATTTACGTGTGTCACATCCTTCAGAAACTATTGCTGCCAGTGATGACTCAGACATTGAAGACACTGGTGTCTTCAGTGATACCAGGAGGTGTCACTGAGACAAGCCAAGAACATGAGGACAGTTCGCACCATGTTACAAACTTTGAAGGAGTCGAATTATAGGATGAGCCTCATTTATTGACTCAAGGAAACCTTAATGATTTGATGTGTGATTTATATCTCTCAAAACAGTAGCTGGCACTTTTAAGACCCAGGTTAAAAGTTAGTTTAGTTTAGTTCATTTATAATGCACCGCATTATGCATTTATTATGTATTGAGGGGGAGCCGGTCGGCCGAGCGGACAGCACGCGGGACTTGTGATCCTGTGGTCCTGGGTTCGATCCCAGGCGCCGGCGAGAAACAATGGGCAGAGTTTCTTTCACCCTATGCCCCAGTTACCTAGCAGTAAAATAGGTACCTGGGTGTTAGTCAGCTGTCACGGGCTGCTTCCTGGGGGTGGAGGCCTGGTCGAGGACTGGGCCGCGGGGACACTAAAAGCCCCGAAATCATCTCAAGATAACCCCATACCCATCTTGTGGGCGGTAAAGGTTGAAATTTTCTCAACCATGATTTTAAAGTTGAAAGCTGTTAAATGAAGACATTGGACATTTTTCAAGAATGTTACTAAAAACATTTTGAGAAATTCAAAGGCTCAAACCTATCGTGGTTTAGTGAGTGAACTATTGAGCTCGTGTAGAGTTTTGGAATATGACTAAAAATCAACTTCTTTGATTCTCACTCCGATTCTTTCCCAGAAGACCTGGGCACTGTCAATGATGAACACAGCGAATAAAATTGCATCAGAATATTTTGAGCACCACGATACCAGGGCAAGGGAAGGGAACTATCAGGAGAAAGTGCCAAGCCATTATGACAATATAACACTTGAAAGGGATCAGGATAAGGGTTTGGGATGGGACAGGGGGATGGAATGCCAGACAAGTGGAGCTCTAGTATGCTGACTAACGTCCATTATATACTCAAAAAGGATGTTCCTGAACAAAGTATAAGAGGAAGTCATCAAAAATCATCCTTTCGTCATACAACAACAAAAAATGATATATTTAATTTCACAGCATAAAAAAACTAACATTAAAAATTACATATTATTACAATTACGTCAAAAAATAACAGTTATTTGGTAAACCAGTATAATCATATAATTAAAATATCATTGACAATCAAAGAAAAAGTTTATAATGGATAATAATATTGTAAAGCATATTATGAACAATCATAGAATAAAGCATATTATGAACAATAATAATGTAAAGCATATGATGAACAATAATAATGTAGAGCATATTATGAACAATAATAATGTAAAACTTATTATGAACAATAATAAAATTTAGCATATTTTGAACAATAATAAAGTAGGCCAAATTATGAACAATAATAAAGTAAAACATATGAACAATAATGTAAAGCATATAATGAACCATAATAAAATACAGCATATTATAAACAATAATAAAGTAAAGCGCATTATGAACACTCATAAAGTGGAGCATATTATGAACAAAAATAAAGTAAAGCACATTATGAACAATAATAAAGAATAGCATATTATGAACAATAATAAAGTATAGCATATTGTGAACAATAATAAAGTGGAGCATATTATGAACAATAATAAAGTATAGCATATTGTGAACAATAATAAAGTGGAGCATATTTTGAACAATAATAATGACTGGCAAATTATGAAGTCATCAAATATAGCATATTTAAACCAAACATAAAACAATGCATAGTATGAAGACACAAAATCCAGCATAATATGAACAATGGAGAAACTATAATACTGTAGTGCTTCAATGAAGGTGAAGGAAAAGACCCACCTTATGTTTAAGTGAACTACAAACAAAATTTCCAGAAGTAACCTAGTTACTTTCTCAAGGATGTTGGTTACATAAAGAAGACCTTCCGCCTCACACCGTTGGGTCTGCGGTTCGAGTCTCCTAGCACCTTAGTCAATGAAATGTACGTTACATCCGAACCTGTATATATGTTTGTATATACAACAGAACTGTATACAATGTTCTGTATACAGGAACATTGTATGCAATATCTTCAGAAAGAATGCAGGTTACATCTGAAAATTTGTTTTTTAATTCCCTTAAACATAAATTGTCTTTCATTCGCCTTCATTATGAACAATCAGATAATAAAGCTTATTATGAACACATCAAATTAAGCATATTATGAACAGATCAAATAAAGCATATTATGAACACATCAAGGAAAGCATATTATGAACACATCAAATAAAGCTTATTATGAACACATCAAATAAAGCCTATTATGAACACATCAAATAAAGTATAATATGAACACATCAAATAGAACACATTGTGAACACATCAAATAAAGCATATTAATGAAAAAATCATATAATAAAGTACATTATAAACATTCAGAAAAAAAACATATGACCAATCAGACAAAAGGTTACCATGATCAAACACAAAATTATGAAGGAAATATTCATTTATTTAATAAAGCTAACTTTGATCAATAAAAAGTAAAGCTAGCAGGGACAAAAGTAATAAAACAAGCTCTTCTGCCAAAACAAAGAATGCAAACTTAGTTAATAACTTAAAATTTTGTTCTCACTCTCGCCTGAAAAAGTTGGTAACGACTACTGCACTTTTCGTCGTTGAAAAGGGAAATAACGAGACCATGAAAGCTTGTGCTGAGACCAGGGAAGCTTGTGCTGGGACGACCGTGACAATGAGTATCTTGATCAGTGAGATAATCAACGTAAAAGTCATATAATTACGAGAATGCAATAGTGTGAATGACGTTAGGCTACAGATGGTCGGAGGTGAACGCCAGCACAGCCTACTCCTAGTACAAGATCACGCTAATATGTCATACTCAAAAATGCCTCGATAATTACATATTGCTATAAAAGAAGCAGTGAGAAAATTCAATCTAAAAGTTTAGTACATTTTTTATAGATTTGAAAATATTCATAAAAATTATTATAATTACATGTTGTGGTTAATTATAAAAAACTTAGTGTGTAAATTACTAACTAGTTCGAAATAGACCTCTGCAAATTACCATGTATTCAGTGTGATACATAATATGATGGATTAACTTAAATAATAAATTTATAATTTATAATTTAAATTTATATACCAAACTCAATTTGGTATCCTCGGAGGCAGAATTCCAGTGAATACAAAAGAACATGGTTGCAATATATGGTCCATATAGGTGTGACACGAGGAGAGGTCATGGTCCATATAGGTGTGACACGAGGAGAGGTCATGGTCCATATAGGTGTGACACGAGGAGAGGTCATGGTCCATAGAGGTGAGACACGAGGAGAGGTCATGGTCCATATAGGTGTGACACGAGGAGAGGTCATGGTCCATATAGGTTTGACACGAGGAGAGGTCATGGTCCATATAGGTGTGACACGAGGAGAGGAGGTCATCCTGGTAAGATGATGGTAAGAGGTGAGGGTAATCTGTCCCTGCATCTTATTGCATGACTGCAGCTGATGGAAGGAAATACCCAGTATGAGTTGTCTGCTGATAATTGGATGTGTGGAAATTTCCACCCACTCTATCAATATAATCTTCTAAGAAATTTATTACTTCTATTTCATATCTATATTTCAGATCATAATTATATCAGATTCATTATCTTGTATCGTTCATCTACTCTATCATACATCAACTAGATCCTACGTGACCACATACGTCGTAGGGCCCTTAGGCCTACGTGACTTTGAACATGTAATCTCAAGAATCTAGATGGTTCGAGAAGAAATTAATTAATTAAAATAGTGTTGGAACAAAATTATAGCTTCCGGTGACGTATTTTCAAATCCACAATAAAGGATCAATTGTACTATTAAGTATCATCAATAATTATTAAATCCACTATATATTTTTCTTATAATCAAACTTCATCTCAAATTAATCGTCTAGACGAGAAATAAATCATAAATATATCACGACCAGTCAACCGCCTACAGAGAGCATGGTGGGAGAGACTGGTGGCTGAAGCTGTTACGAACCCGGATCCAGCGTCCGAGCCTGGAGCAGTGACAACCACGCCATCTGTGGGTCAGCTCCCGAAACCCCCGCCAAACGGACGACGACACCTGGTGAGGACAGCGTGTACTGGCCTCGAGGACCAGTTTCCAGTCTGGTTCCGCGCTCAACACCGCCGCTCCTGACCTCTGGTGAGGTGGTGCTCCGACGACAGCGCCATCTATGGGCTGGATACGTCAGGTGTTTGTGCCCGAGCCCGTAAGTGAGGTGTATTAGTGTCCCGGTTATTGATGACGTGTCTGCTTACAGAGCCGACCTGGGACCACTGTGATGGAAGTGGAGTCAGTCTACCCGAGGCAGCCAGTCTCCATACCTTGAACGTTGCTGCAGCTGTTGTGAAGTCGTCCCCCCGGAAGAACACTGTGATGTGTTAGCCTGCCAGTGGAGTGGCAGTAAGAGGATTTACCCGGGAACGACTGTTGGAGACGATCATCCACTGGGGTACTGAAGACAGGAGGGTGATTTGTGATATCACACGAGACTCCTGTCTAGGGCGTACCCCTTATATCGTTCGTGGAGTGGCCGTACCAGCCTTGGTGGCTCAGTACCTGCCAGCAGACCAGCTGGACGTGTGGTTGACGGCCTCCACGACGGTGCCCCCAGTGGACCTGTGTTTTGGCTGACCTGTGGCCCGGGTAGGCTCGGCATTCTCAGAGGACACGTCTTGAGGCCACGAAGAAAGCACCGCGGACCCGGCTCCTAGCTTCTTGATCCAGAGTCTTCAGCAGAAGATTAATTTGTGAATAATCCCCTTGTCTAGTGTTAATACCCCTCCCCCTTGTGCACTCTTTTATTTTATATATTTAAACGGTGATGGTAATAATTATAATATTAAATTCTTGGCTTTCTTTCCCTACTCCCTTTAAGTTACTTGCGTCACGGATCTCATCCCTTGATAGCCACTACTGGCTTGGGAACGGATATATATATCTGAATCTAACAACATCAGAGTAAGGACCCCGTTGCGTCCCGAGAGGGCCGTAACATATATATATATATATATATATATATATATATATATATATATATATATATATATATATATATATATCTTATGTATCAAGTTAACAATCGCTATAACAATTAACATTAATTGATCATATTAGTTTATCATGTTGATTATAGTATCTTGATGCATAATTGCATATATATAATGTTTGTATAATTCAATTTTCTTGTGTTTATTAGTAAAATTTTATTATTGGCTGCAGCAATAATTTTAGAGCTAGGCTAGACTGTGTATATTGTTCATATTTGTGGTCTAGAACAAGAACCAGTGTTCATAGTCAAAGAACTATGTTTATTATCCTATAATTTTTATGCTATACTGTACAATGCTGATATTTTGAAATACCTGCAGGTAGATTGTGGGTGTCCAATCAAGAACTTTATTCACCCTTAAGGGACCTACCTGCCCCCTACAGATCACTATCCTTCCTAGGAAAAGAGGAATAGGATTTACTACCCGAGCTAAGGAGTGATAATTTTGTTTTGCAAGTCAAATGTAGGGTAATATTTAGGTATACACAGTAATAAATTTCAAGTCCTAAGTAATTCTTCTTATTAATATAATCACTGACATATTTTCCACATGATGAGTGTATAGTTGTGTAAAACTTCTGATATGTCTTGTCTTCTATTGTCGCTTTGTCTGTCAATTACTTCGGTGTTCTGGTCCTGACAGCTGAGTGGACAGCGCTTCGGTTTGTAGTCCTGAGATTCCGGGTTCGATCCCCGATGGAGGCGGAAACAAATTGGCACAGTTTCTTTCACCCTAATGCACCTGTTAATCTAGCAGTAAATAGGTACCTGGGAGTTAGACAGTTGCTACGGGCTTCTTCCTGCGGGTGTGTAACAAAGATGTCCTCAAGAGGAGATGTCTCTCGTGACGAATAATTCGAAACCTCACATCATTTAGTACTCCCTGTCTATCCCTTTGGGAGTCATGTGTGTAAAACGCATCAGGAGGCTATCAATAACTGACATTGAAAATTAGAGAAGTCACATTCGAATATTATACAAAACTGCACTTTGATTACTATTACTATCCAGAGTAATACTATTACTATCCAGAGTAATACTATTACTATCCAGAGTAATACTATTACTATCCAGAGTAGTACTATTACTATCCAGAGTAGTACTATTACTATCCAGAGTAGTACTATTACTATCCAGAGTAGTACTATTACTATCCAGAGTAATAATATTACTATCCAGAGAAAATGGTAAACAAATGACAAGTGAACTTTAGAAACAAACCCTCCCTGGCCTGGGCCATCATTTGTCCAACGAGACTCCCAAGTTGGAACGATCTTGTACCAACACGAGATCTTACATTTGATGGTGCATCTTCTCGAAACAAGTTGCTTGAGACGCCCCGAACCAGGGGCTGAGCAGCGAGGAGATGTTAGACGTTCTCAAAGATTCCTTACACATGGTTCTAAAGGCAGATCTTATGTTGGCCAACATAAGAACTACCTTTAGAAACTTGTATAAAGTGTTAGTACTTGTCTTGTGTAATACCAAGACCAGTATTGTTGTGAAGGACCACACCAAGACCAGTATTGTTGTGAAGGACCACACCAAGACCAGTATTGTTGTGAAGGACCACACCAAGACCAGTATTGTTGTGAAGGACCACACCAAGACCAGTATTGTTGTGAAGGACCACACCAAGACCAGTATTGTTGTGAAGGACCACACCAAGACCAGTATTGTTGTGAAGGACCACACCAAGGCCAGTATTGTTGTGAAGGACCACACCAAGACCAGTATTGTTGTGAAGGACCCCATTAAAACATGTGTTGCTATGAAGGACTACACAAATACATGTGTTGGTTTGGAGAGCTATACTAAGACATATGTTTCAATGAAGGGTCACAACAAGACTGTGAAGGGCTGTGAAATGGAACATGGAGACATTTGTTGCTAGGAAAAGTCACACTTTGACAAGTGTTGTTATTATGGGCCATATTATGACAGGGGCTGTGACAGCCCCTTCTGTTCCGAGCCTAGCTCAGTCAGGTAGAATTGTTAAATCATTCAGAATGTATTCCCTTTCCTTCACCACCTTCCCTCTCCTTCACCCTCTCCCTCATCACCTTCCCTTTCCTTGACCACCTTCCCTCTCCTTCACTACCTTCCCTCTTCTTCCCCACCTTTCCTCTCCTCTGCTACGTTTTTTCACTCCTTCAAACTTTAATGAATTTTTTTTAGAAATGCTGATGCTGAGCAGACTACCCTACAAACCTCCCACTTGGAGGTAGGTAACAAGCAACCCCTTCTCCTCAACCAACTGATACTAGGTTGGGGTAGTTTCTGGGTATATAAATACTCAGATTATAGATTAAAATCAGAGTGCCTGGTACAAGTGACGAGAACTGGTCTCCAGATCATCACGCGGCCATAGGGAGAAAGGCAGTGGATCCACCGAGTTGAGAGGCAGTGGCTCCATAAGGTAATGTGAGATCTCTTATGTATTGTTCTATGTCTAAATTACGTACCATTTGCCAGGGTAGGATAGTGATTTAGGAATTTGCCTGTGTGTAGGGATTTGGGATGTTTTTTGAAGATCATAGTTTTGACTTAATAAACTCTTGTTAAATTGCCATCTTTATGTGTCACTTGGTGTTACGGACCCGAGCCCAGCGTCCGAGCACGGAGCTGTGACGACCACGCCATCTGTGGGTCAGCTCCCGAAACCCCCTCCAAATGGACGGCGCCATCTAGTGAGGACAGGATATACCGGCCACAGGGGCTGGTTTCCCGTCCTAATCAGCTCGTGATATAGCCGCTGCTGACCTCTGGTGAGGTGACGCTTAGACAGCAACGCCATCTATGGAGCGGATAGGTGGACGTTTGTGTCTAAGCCTGTGAGTGAGGTGCCCTAGAGTGTCATCATTACTAATGACGTATCTGATTACAGAGTCAACCTGCGACTGCTGAATCGGACGGTGGATCAGTCTACCCAAGGCAGCCGTAGTATCTTCACGCATTTGCTGCAGAAGCTGTGAGTCACCCCTTGGATGAACACTGTTGTGTTAGCCTGCCTGTGAGGTGGCAGAACCAGGGATTGTCGTACCCGGGGCTGACTGGCGGAGAAGACTAGCCACTGGGGTGTTGTGGCGAGGAGAGTGATCTGTGGAATCACACGAGGCTCCTGCCTAGGGCTCGCAACCCTAGTATCGGTCGTGGAGTGGCCTATGCAGCGTAGCTGATTGGAACCTGCCAGCTACAGGCTGGATTTGTGGTTGAAGGCCTCCATGACGGTGCACCCAGTGGGACCGTGATTTGGCTGACCTGTGGCCGGGGTAGACTCGTCTAGAGAATCTACGGATTCATCGTGAGGCCACAAGAAGAGGACCAAGGGCTAAGCATCGTTGAGCACTGTGGAACACTCCGCGTCTTCAGAGGAAGACCATATTGTACATTATAA